GAAGTTGTTCTAAAGAAATTGTAGTTCTAGTTTTGAGTTAGATTCGATCAATTTTCTCTCGACTTATTGAGTGTCCTACCTAAATCTTTTGTCGTTTCTCCTTTTTCTCCACCCAATATATACAAGTCTATCAAAAGAGCGTTGAGGCGAGGGAGTGACACTAACTGAGCAAGGGAGATATATAACGCAGATAAATGAACGAAGAGAGAAGAACATTGGTGGATGATTATCTGACTGTATAAACGAAACAGGAATATGATGAACAAAAACACATGCATATTGGGATAGTAGTGGCTTCTCTAAATAAAAGATGTAATATTAATATCATAGGTTGATGATATTTATTTTTTCTCGTTGTTACATACATGTCAAAGCTGAAAATTGAACTCAACTATTGAGAATTTACTTCAACTATTCAGTTATTCAATTATTGAATAGTTGAATTTCAATTATTCACTTTTCACCAGGTGTGAGTGCGGAGAAGAGAATTCGGAGGGAAGAATTAGGAATAATTGAATTCAACTTTCAGGTTTGACACTACTGGACTTATTTCAAGGTGGAATACAATCGATTGTAAAATTATACAAGAATTATTTTATGCTAGAGTTTTTTTTCTAAAAATCGGCTCATATGCGCCGAACTGCATTAAATTAAAATCAAATATTATGTCAAATGATATACGATTTACATTAATTATTTTTTTTCTCTACATAGCTTTTTAACAACTAACTAGCATTGGTTTTTGATAAACAAGCTGAATTTTTTAGTATATTAGATTAGGGGAAAAGTTTTAAATTGTATGTCTATGTTAGTAATAAAATATAATCTGAAACAAATTAAAAAAGTCAAATATAAGAATATTATTTAGTTAGCATATATTTATATGTAGAAAAAGACGAAATAACCAAAAACAAAATAAAAAAGAAATTTTCGATCTTCAAAATGATCATTGTGAGTTTTAGACTCGAACAATTTGACTGGTGTTACAAAACCCAAAGAAAAAAAGCCAAATGAGATTATAATTGAAAAAAAAATTAGACAAAAACATCACAAATCTATAATGATGTAAAATATAGCCTAATATGATGAATCTATAATAATATGAGTTATAACTTAATTTCATAAACCTATTCATTATGAATATGAATTAGTGTAGTTCGAATACTAATTAACAATCAACACTAGATTAAGTTAGATCACAATAATAATCATCAATTCGCAATATAACCTTAAATACATGAAATCAATAAATAACAACTCATGTTTTATTTTCTACTCAAATATAATAGTAATCATCATTATGTACAATATATAACATTGTTAGAGTTTAATGTAGTCTCATAAAAGAAAAATATGAAACAGAAATGTTATTTATTTTATTTATGCTTATATGAATAGAAAAGATAAAAGAGGGAAAAAAAGAAATTTTTGGTCTTCAAAATGACCATCATGAACATTAGACTTGGACGATTTGACTAATGTTAGAAAATAAAAATTAAAAAAAGACAAATGAGATTATAATTCGAAAAAAATTAAGACGAAAACATGACGATACTAAAACTATCTAAAATGTAACTTAATAATATGAATCATAACTTATAATATCATTATATATTATCAATATGAGTTAATGTAATTTAAATACTAATTAACAATGAACATGAGGTTAAATTAGATCACAATAATAATCATCAATTTGTATAATAACATTATATATAGTAAAATAAATAAATTAACAACTCAAGTTTTTGCTCTCTTGTCTTTTTCTTTCGTATAAACATATATAAAATAAATAAAATCTCTAGTTTCATATTTTTCTTTTATGAGACTACATTAAACTCTAAGAATGTTATATATTGTACATGATGATGATTATAATTATATTTGAGTAGAAAATAAAACATGAGTTCTTATTTATTGATTTCATGTATCTAATGTTATAATACAAATTGATGATTATTATTTTGATCTAACCTCATCTCATGCTGAGTGTTAATTATTGTTTATTCGAATTACATTAATTCATGTCAATATTATTTATGACTATGCTGTTAAGTTATAATTCCTATTACTATATAGGTTTATATTATTAAGTTGTATTTTACGGCTTTAGTTTCATGATATCTTCATCTTATGATTTCTCTAACTATAATCTCATTTGTCTTTTTTTTCTTTTGGTTTTGTAACATCCATCAAATCGTTTAAGTCTAAAGTTCATGATGATCATCTTGACGAGCAAAAATTCTTTCTTTTTTTTTTTGACTTTTTCGTATGAGCATATATAAAATAAATAAAATGTCTATTTTAGTATTTTTATTTTATGAGACTACATTAAACTCTACGGATTTTATATATTGTACATGATGATGGTTAGACCAATTAATTTATTTAGGTTAATGTAGTTACAAAATGAAACTAAGCTATTAAAATGATGATCGTGAATATTCTCTACCGAAAAATGTATAAAGTATTCATACAAAGAATGAATAAACAATAATAATATCTACAGTATCATTAGTTAGTTATTTCATCATAAAATGATTTTTTGTTGTTGAAAGAATCTAGCATAAACTGAGATGTGCTTAATAGTATTTTATATAAAAATGTCTTTCGCATTTTGAATATATCTAGTCATTGCCTCATTGATACCGTTTTCTTACTTTAATCACGTAGCGCTTACATTTTTTTTAGATTCAAAACGTCAGCATGTTTTTGTTTTTGTCGCCCATCATTAAATATATAACGGTTCAATCGACAAGAACAAACAACGAATATAATCATATTGTTTGTTTGCACGATTGTTTTACAATCATCTGAATGCACAAGAAAAAGTTTAGATTTAAAATTTGCTGAGGTTTTTAGATCATGCAACGATCTAAGCTGATTGAAAGTATCATATCAGATATATAGGATCATAAAATTTTGCTTTTTAATATTTGTTATGGTACAAGAATGAGTTCACTAATATTGAAGTTTCAAAGTACATATAAATTATATGAGAGGATAGTCTCTTTGTTTCAAAAAGTTTTAAATACTTAAAACGAAAAAATCTCAAACCCACCTTATTCAAAAGCAAGTCGCACTGAGTAAAAAGCGTATTGTTCAACTTTTTTGTCAAAATCTGCTCATGAAAGGGAGTTACTACAGAACATGTTTTCATTTATGATGATATAAATTAATAATTGTGTTTTTGTTCCACTAGAATAACGTTATTTTTTATTCATATTGATTCAATTGGAAACAATTAATCTTTATAATGTGTTCCTAAGAAAATGTAGGATGCAGAAAATGTAAGCATTCCAGAGAAATTAATTATATGGGAATAATTGTGTATATGTTACGAAAAAAATCGCCTAAATTATGTTTTTACGGAGAGAATTCAGTTTCAAATAATGTTTATCCTTATACATCTTTCAATTTTTCGTATTCATCGAATTTAAAATGAATAACTTTTCTATTAAATAAAAAAATATAATCGATGACTGCTTATATAAAGTTTCAATGTAGATCAGAACACTAGATTCTATACTATCGTATCTCTGTCGGACAGCTGTGAGGTTTGCAGTAATTATTATTTCCATGTAGTATTCAGTATTACATTTATGCGACGTTTCTCTTATGTATTCGACATGTTTTTTGAGTATATGAATGAAGAAAATACTTATTAATTATTTGTCTTTCATTTTTTGGATCGTTGTGTAGAAATTTATGTCATAAAATACAAAATAAAATAAAATCATGTATTCATTTCACAAAATTTTATCGCTTTATTGAATATCATTCGATAAAAATAAGAAAAGAAGTTGTTATTTTGAAATCTGTTCTTATTTGCCAATTATAGAGTGAAAATATTATTCTTAACATGTGGACTCTTTTTTTGTTCAAAAATGTTTCCTTCGTCTTTGATTCGATAAAAAGTACAGAAAACAATCATGGAGTATTTGCTCTAACTTAAATGTAGTTGATCGTTATCTGCCTTCAATAAAGTATCTATTATAATTGACGTTTACTGTATCTCAAATGTATTTGAGGCGTATATCATATTTTTCGNCTTTTAGTACTATATATATCTCAAATAGTGACAGATCAATAGCATTATAGATAGAGTACAACTGGTAAAAAAATCACATTTTTCTAATAAGTGGTTGAAGTGATATAAGAAAATGAACGTCGGGGTACCAAGCCAGTTGATCACGTCCATATAAAGACCCTGGGCCAACAATTTTAGGATGCCAAATCAGCTATTTTTGAACCTTGTTTGGTGGATATCTCTGTCAAACGTCATGGTATAGAACTGAAAGTTTTACCATAGCTTCTCTACTACAGTTACAACATATTCTCCGAATGTCATGGCATTAGAATGTTCCTGGACTGATATTGATTTTTGAGGGTGGAGAGACCTTAAGACTGAGTCATGTGTGTTTAGTCTATTTGGAATGTCTCTATTTATAAGATTTATATTTCAAATTCAAACACCTAAATCAAGACAACGATGACGCATTTGTGTACATAATTTGCATATTTCATCTGGATTTATATTGAGATCTTTATAGATGTATGCAGCAGCAAAGAACTAAACATTTTAGAAAATTCAATGGGCAAAGCCTTATTTTTAAAAATTACAATGGGCAACTCTTAAAATGAAATGGGCAATTGTCCATTTGCCTCCCCCTTGGCTACGCCACTGGAAACGAATAAATGTAAGAATTTCTCTCACATGAAGAATATCTAATAGAATAGCAGAACGACAAGAATAATTCAAATAGTTGATTGAGCGACTACTACTTTTCTCAACATTATATCAAAAGATCCTGTAATACTTGTACTATACATAAGGAGAAAAATCTTTTAGAATTTTTCTCAAGACGATTAACTATTCGAAGTGTAAAACATCAAATTCTTCTTTATTTTTTATAAAAGTATTCTCTCTTGTTAAAGTAAAATGTAATCACTTTAGTATTAGTAGACATTTCAAGAATACAATAGCGTAGAAAAATGGTTTATTCGTAAAGTTGTTGAAGCCATTTTCTTCGTCTCAGTCCTTCTAACTGATCTGTATTTTCTTTGACTTCAGGATGATCTGGTGGTACAGATTTAAGTAATTGTTGAACAGATTTCTCAGCACAATCAATTGCGTCGTCTAATTGATTTAGTTTTGCATAAGCTGTTGATAAATTAAAATAGGAAACGGATATTTTATGATCGTTTTCTGGAAGGTATTTAAGTTCTAATTGAAGTGCTTGTTGATAAAACGGAAGTGCTTCAGCAGGTTTATCCATTCTCCAATATACAGATGCGATGCGATCATAAATCATTGCAATTGATTGTGATTCTCCACTTGGTATTGATTGTTGAAGAATTTGAAGAGAACGTTTATAATGTAATAATGCTTGATCATATTTTCCTTGATCAAGGTAAACAGCTCCAATATTTCCTGAATATGTTGCTATAGCTTCAATATCAGGTGATGAAGATTTTAATTGACATTGAAGAGCTTTTTGATGATAGATAATTGCTTGTTCATGTTGATCTTCTTGATAATACATACTTCCTATGTTGTTATATGTTGCTGAAAGTATTTGATTATCTTCTGAAAGAAAAGTTAAAAAAATTTTTAATGATTGCTCGAACTGAAGACGAGCAGCTCGATAATTATTTTGCCGATTATCAACAGAACCAAGTAGATGATGAACAGCAGCCAATGAAGCTAATAATGTTGGATTATTTTTTAATGAACCATCATTAAATAATAGACGTGCTAAATAATCAACATGAGAATAGTCATTATTTGACAGTAAAAGTTTTCCTAATTGAATTAATACAACAGGACCTTCAATTTCTTCACGCATTTCTTTTATTATTTCTTTGAATTGCTGATTTTCTCTGCTTATATTTGTTAGATTAATATTCCACCAATGATGATCATCATGATTATTCTCTTCGATTGATTCAATGCGATAAACATTATCGAAAGGAAGTAAGACTTCTGTTTTTGAATCAGAATAACGAAGTTGTTCAATTTCAATCCCAACTGTTGTTGTAATTCGAAATATAATTGTTTGCATTCCATCAATATTTTTAATTAAAGAAGGTTCATTGAGTGTACAATCAAGAAAAGTACCAAATGAAAGTAAATCATTTGAGTTATGTTCTTTGAATTTTTTAAATTGATCAAAAGAGTAATGATGAATTCGAAAAACAGTTGCTGAAAAATAATTTTCTTTAATTTGATTATTAAGTTCTTGTATAAACCATCTCATTTTATATAAAATATCAATTTCTTCTGTACGTAATGCACGATTAAGCATTTTCCGAATAAAACAATTTCTTGTATACCACCATACTGATTTTTTTATTGTAAAATCTTGTTCAAATTCATCAATTAAATTTAATTCAATATGATTATTATTATAATGAAATCGAGAAAAATCGATAAAATCTTTTTTTAAATTACTTTCATTATCTTTTTTAAGAAGAGTTTCTTTTAATAATTGTGAATAACAAAATGATTGCTTTGAAGTTTCATTAGTTGATACAAATTGAATTGAAAAAAATTGATTTTCTATTAAACATTCGTCTTTTATTTTGTCGGAGATCGATTCAAGATTTGAAAAATTTCCACGAATATTAAAATGATCATTTTTCCAAGTGATATTATTTGAAAGAATATAGACTGAATCAAATCGAGACAAATCTTTAATAGATTCTGCTAATGAAAGACTAATAATTAAAATAATTCTTTCAAATTTAAGAGTATTAACAAAAGAATTTAATTCTTCAATATTATTAAACATTTTAACGAAATTAACAATCGAACGATTAAAATTTGATTCATCTTTGATACCAAGAAAAATAACAACAAAATCTTCTACATTTCCTTCATATCGTGGTGGTAGTGGTTCATGTTGTTCCATTCTACGAAGACCTTTAATAAACACAAATAAAATAGATTTTGATATAAATGAAAAACGAACCATTTTGAAGAATAGATAATAATGATTGAAACAAATTTCCACTATTGTCATTATCATTTGTTGTTTGTTTTGTTAATTTTCGATGAAATTGACTTACGATATTATCTTCATTTTCTACTTTTGGTGAATCTCAAATATAAAATAAAAAAGAAAGAACAATGAAAATTGTAAAGAAAAGTGAATTTACCATTTGATTTTTTGGTTTCATGTCGTTCTTGAACATTTTCTTGTTGGGATGATGAACTTTCTTTTTTTTCTACTAATAATGATGATGATGATGATGATGATGATGATGAAATTCTCTTAGTTTTTCTTGTTGAAATTTCTAAAAATTATCCTTAGAAAAAAAAGAATTCAACAGTTTATTTCTATACCATGATAATTTTCATTGTGATCGGTTGACTAAAATTTCCAGCAAAATTTTCATGAAGTTCAATAATACAAATAAAAACGTACTTTGCTTGACTTTATATGAACATTATCTGATTGAATACGATTATTTTCACTCTTCCCTTGTTTTTGTTTGTCATCATTACTTGTTCTTTCTTCCGATTTTATCCTTTGTCGGATTTTTAAAGATCGATGATCAGATAAAACTTTGTTTGTTTGAGATGAATTCAATAAAATATTCTTAAAATACAAAATTTCTTAAAATTAAGAAAAAAAAAAACAATTGTGATGAATTCTTCGAACCTCTTGATTCACTTTTTGTTCGCGTCGTCGACATCTAATTTGTTTTAAATATAAGATTATTAAATATTGAAAGAAATTATTTAATCACCTTTGGCAGGGAATTGACTTAGCTACTTGTTCAATAATAAATGATTGACCAAGACAAAATCCTCCTTGACGATATTTATATTCACAACAGGACAACAGATGAACTTCGATATGTCCATTGATATAACATTTTATATCGAAAGGACATTCAACAAGATGTTGAGATTTAAATGAAAATGTATCTTATGAAAATAGAACTGATAATCAAGGTTAGACACTAAAAAACAATGGATAAATTACCTTCATTTTTCAAATAACCTTTATAAACAATAATTGTTCGATCATCATTATTTTGTTTTTGTTTAATTACAATTTGATCATTATCCGATAATGATAGTGAATCATTTCTATAGATCATCATTACTTCACATGCTTGATAGACATTCATTGCAAGATGATAGAATGAATTTCTCTAAATTTTATATCAAAAATATGTTCAATTAAATTTTTCATTAGATTTTATAAAAATTAATCTCTTGAATTTCTATTAAATCTTACTCGTGAAGAAATTAAATTTCGATCATTATATATTTGAGCACTTCGTGAATGACGACATTTTGAATTGATTATCTATATCCATCGTTAATAATTAGCAAAAAATCATACAACAAAAATAAACATACTCCATCTTCAGATGATGTACTACGATATCGAGACATCATATCTTTAAACGTCTTTCGAGATCGTTCAATGTTAAATTTTCTACAGAAATAATAATAATTTAATAAAAAAAAAATTTCTATTATTACTGCGGCATATTTTCTTCATTGATACAATCTCTTTCTATTCTTCGACATTTGTAATTTGCATAGGGAAGTAAAATTTCATCATGATTCACCTTATTAAATAGACAAATAAACATACCATTTTATTATCTCGAAAGTTTAAATCATAAGAAAAAAATATTTTATTTACATACTAAACCAGTTTGTCGCAAATAATCATGAATAAAGAAATCTCTATAAAGCAATGCTCGTAATCGTCGATCGATGGAATCATCGGATGTTCTAGATTTGATTATATACATATATATATATTATTGTATTGAATAAAAAAGGAAAGAGAACACAGACCTTGATGATATTGAGGATGAATGTCGAAAAGACATAGTCGTATCGTAGTGGCAAAGAAAAAAACTGTCGTTTGGTAAAAAAACACCGTGTATGTCTATGCGTGTTGATGCTGAATGAAGTAAAGAACGCGAAGAAAAAAACAAGCATGCACACACACGTTTGTTGTTCTTTTGTAAGGGTACCGACTTAAGATTTTTGCAGAATGAATAATAAAAACATAAACTGATTGATTAGATTTTACTACATAAAACAATAAGAAAAAAAAATGGAGATTTTTTAATGAGAGTTAAAATATGAAATTCTTTTCTAAATGAAGAACGATAATAGAAGAAATAAAAGAAACAAATTATGATTTATGAAATAATTTCTCGTCGGTAACTAATACTATTATTGAGATTTTATTTTGACTATAAATATATTATATTATTAATAGAATGAATATCATTGAGAGATCTTAATCAATAGAGTAGCGAATAAACGAACATTAATTATTTAATTCATCATAAAATGCTTTGATGGATCAATTAGCAGTATTGATCATATTTTTTTACAAAATTCATTCATTTTTTTATTGCTCTTATTTTTCTAAAGTGAGAATTAAAATAAATAAATGCGAAAACATCGGATTTAAATCCGAGTGTTATGTGTACTTCAAAAAGTAAACAGATATATTCACTTTGTTTTTTATCATCTGAGACATATCTAGCCTATTTGCTTTCTCCATGCAGTTTTTCTGCATTTTGAGACCTTTTTCAGGGGATGTTTTGTTAGAAAGCTACGATTTGGTTCAAAACTAATATCAGATTCGGAATCAGCGTTAACAACTGAGTCGATTTATATATGTTGTGAAGAATTCGGAGAAAAAAATGTTTTTTTTGAAAAAATCCCTGTACTCCCCCTCAGGGATGGTCTAGTCAATAATGACAATTTTTTTGATAACTCAGCCATTTCTTGACGGATCCTTCTCATCTTCGAACTCGACCGAGACATTGTTAAGAATGAACTGTATAGAAAATTTCATCATGATCTGACTCTCCTTTCGAAAGTTATCATGTATACGGCCGACCATACTGACCGATTCTAGAGTGTACTCACTTTTTGAGTACACAAAAAAAATAAAAACATTTTTGATGTTCCGTCAATTAGTATTCTCATTTTCCGGGATAATACTAAAATATATGTAAGGGATCCAATGAAACATTTACTTTATATTGACGATAGAATCTCTCCTTATCATCACGTTTTATTTTTTCTGGATGCTCATTATATTTTTTTCTGTATATAAATTATACTTTTCGTGCTTGATTAGTTGATCAAATGCATTACGCTTTCTCTTCTCATATGCTATTATATTTTATTTCGCATCACATTTTAATATATATAATCAACCGATTTTGTTGACTTTTCCTATCATAGAACGCACATGAAAAGTATTTACACATTAAGTATAATAAATGAATTTTCATTTCAATGATTATACGAATTGTGTAAGTTGATCGATCAAGTCTTACTGTTGGCTTAAATAAAATAACAAAAGAGATATTTTAGGTATCGTTAATGTAACAATAAATAGCGTACAGATTTGTTCATTATTCATGAGAATGATAAGACCTTTTTTTTTAGCAACTGATCACTGTAATAATAAATGATTTTGACATGTGATATTTCTTCTGGAATCTTCTCCATATCTTTTTTTTTCTGTTATGTTACTATTAAATAAGCGTATGCTCGTAGGGAAATCGACGTAATTGTTGTGATGAAGCAACTGAATAGACATTATGATCAAGAATAACAACAATTTCATAGCTGTTCAAGTACGGACTTTCTCGACTACGAGTACAAGTACAACGAAAATCGCATACAAGAAATAGAATTTCGTATAAGATTACTAAGGAAGATGTGTTCAACGCCATTACAACATAACTGTCGAATATAAATCGATGCACTTTTACATAAGATCGAAGAAAAAAGAAATTAGCTATTTGCTTCATCCTTGAAAGAGACAAATAGGTACCTAATATTAATTTGATAGAACAAATTTCATCTAAAAGGGCAAAAGCAGATAAGTTTACTTTTCTTTTCTCAAAATGTTTTATTAATTCTGTGTTGAAATCAATCCAATGACGACACTCGATAACATTGTAAAGGTTTATTTCGTAACGCTTTTCGATGAATTTTTTGAGTCATACCTGTATTCCTTGATGAGATCAACAAAAACTTGGCCATCCTTCTACAGGTACGTGTGTGAGTTGAAAACTTGATTGAGAGACATCGCGAAATAGGTCATTGAAACGATATTAAGAGCCACTACTCAATTGATTTCAAGTCAAAAAACTGAAATATTTTGGAGACTAAACAAACGACTTTATCCGCCTTCATTAATTTAAAGTTCTTGACACTCGAGTTTGCGCACTTCGAATATTTTTCCTGTTTAATCCATCATATTAATCAAATAAATATTGAATGTGTCAATCATTGAGGTATGATTATCTGTTATTAGCGAGAACAATAATGAATGATATCTGCAAGAAAATTGAATTGTGCAGATAGGTGTATGTACGTTTGAGTAATCTTTGTAACATATTTATAGATAATAATATTCAATCTAGTTACGTATTTTTGCTGTTATTTCAACTAGTTGATAGTTCCTGTATGAACGTTTATTTCCTTGTAATATATTAAATTCTCTTTGTAGATAATATAAATATAGTAAATAAAATATTTTATGAGAAAAAATAATTGTTTTTTCTATCAGAGATATTTTTAAACTCTTCCCCATTTATTTCCTATTATTCAGATCTATAATTAATATAAAATCAAATCGATAATCTTTATTAATCTAAATATAATAATGAAGTTACGTCGTATTCACTTTAATCGTATCTTTTTTTTAAATTTATTATTACGTAAAATAACAATCTTTTTAGCATTTGTTTTTTTATCTGGATTATCAGATATTTTCCTTCTAATGAAAAGAAAATATATTCATTAGAAATTATTCAAATGGCTAATAATACCTGTTTACGTTCCAAAACTTTCAATGCATATTATTCAAATGTCAAAATATTCGTGTAACATTGATATTACGAACAACTCATTCATTCACCTTAATCCTACTTATAATTATATTCATTTTAATGATACAACAGCTGACCGTGAGATATTTATACTAGAAACAATATCTAAGTATATTTATTAGGCATATAGATCATTGATAAATCGTTTAATGAAAGATGACTATGTTCGTTACATAGCTTTACTCGTAAAATGTGGTATCGACTCGGATATCAATATTATTTGTCTTCAATCAATTGATATTTGAATTAATAAAATTCGAATGCAAAAAGTCACGATTGATCATTGGAGTTGAGGCTGATATTACTCTATGACGAATTTGAAAACATGATTATGTTCGACCAAAACAATTTGTTCAATGGACAAGTGCTACTCCTCCTGGATATCCTATTTTACATCAAATTGTAAAACGAATTGCTAATAGTATGTTCACTATGTCATTCAATGCTACTAGTAAAAATAGTTTTTGGAATGGAAAGAATCAGCCTTATGGATAGATTTTATAATTAATTATTTGTTCGTCAAATATAAATTTTCATTGGATAATTTTAATGAATTTGGAGAAACCTAAATTAATTGAAGAGAATATTTGTATGTTAGCAATAACAACATTTTCACTAGGATTGAAAAGAATAAGTTCAAAATCTATAACTGATTCAGAAGTTCATTAAGAATCTTAGGTTAATCTGACATTCATATTTGAAAGTGTGTCGATCGATGTCATTTTTACTGTGTACTTTTATTGTTGTTGTATTATATTATAGTGATAGATCTGTAATGCGTTGTTGGCCATAGTAAATTTATTTGTAACGTTAACATAAAATCTGTTCATATGAAATAGCAGATATTTATATTAGATGTTAATCAAAGGATAGAACGCATCATGAGGCAACATAATGCAGTTGAAAAAATCAGGAACAGCGCGAAGGAGTCGGAGCAAGAGATCTATCCAAAATCAAAGAAAATTGTCTAATAATTTTCTTCAAACTTGGATTTTCTCTGCATTGAGAGAAGTAAATTCGTCAAACTTGAAGAAAAATCAATCTACCAAAATTTTCAAATTCTAACAAAGCTCCAACCAAATTTTTCACAGCTGGGGGTGACTTTCCAAGTCGCGTCCTCCTTAGTAAAGGAAGAACTCAAGAGAAAACATTCAAAAAAAAATACCTTGACAGAAGAAGAACGAAAAAGATAGATAGAATTCACATCGTATATGTACGTAAAAAACGAACAGGAAACGACATATATATATAATACTTACAACAATTCTCTCTTATCGGGCATCTCTAGTAGGTGACATAACACACAATGTAAGAAATTAAAGCTTGTTCAATACAATGACGTACAAAAACTTTCTAAGCAAATGAATCTCATATTGTTTGATGAGTAAAACATGATTGTTGCATTAAATGTAATTTTATGCTTATCAAAGAAGAAAAAAAATCCTAAATATATAGGTTAACATCATCTAATGATAACAGTGTTGGCAAGTTGATAAGTATTAGAATAATATG